TACACGCCCAGCTGGCCGCCAGCCATCTGTCACCTGGGGAGGTGGCGTGACAGTCTGGTCCCTGTGAGCTGCTTTGTATCCACCGACATTCTCATCCTGAGAAAAGCTTCTGGCTGGGCTTGGCCTGGATTCACGTTCCAATAGCGTGTGTGCAAACTGGCCACGTTGGACAACACTTCAGAGAAAGAGAGGAGGGCCTGGGAAGGGCGCGGCCACGCCGTGACCCGTCCGCAGCAGCTGACGCCCTCGCCTGGGTTTTATGACCCTGATGCAGCCTTAGGCGCCCCGGAGAGTCGGTCTGCCTGGCCCCCACCGCTGCCGCCAAGGGCCACAGGGCCTGTCGATATCGGTGAATTCCGGCAGGTCCTTCCAGTGCTGCTGTGCCGGGAGGCGGTGACAGGCGCTGGTGGGCACGGCGAGGAACATCGGGGCTCCCAGAAGCGCGTGTTCCGTGCCTGGGAAGACCGCTACGATCGTCTGGGCTCATCCCTTCTCGCGCCGCTTCACTCGGGTGGTTTTTAATTGAGCTTCCCAAGCTAGCGTTTTGTTTTTGTTTTTGTTTTTGTTTTGTTTTGTTTTAATCCTCTCCCAAGGATATGTTTACTGCTTTGAGAGAGAGAGAGAAAGGGGGAGAGAGGGAGAGGGAGAGACATCCATGTGAAAGGGAAACCGTGATGGCCTGCCTCCCATACACCCCAACCCGGGACAGACGCAGGACCTTTTGGTGCACGGGACCCGCCGGGCCAATGAGTGGGGCCGCCCGTCTGGCCGAGCCAGCGCTCCCTCTGAGAACGTTTGGTCCATGGCTTCGAACCCCGCCCGAGCAGCGAGGCCGCCTGGTGGCGGTACGCTCAGGGCACCCCTCCCGTGGGCGCCTTGCCCTGCACCTCGGGTCCTGCTGTTCCCTCAGACTGCGAGGCTGCCCTTCCGCTGGGCGATGCGCAAAACCAACAGAAGCCCCTCTTTTCCTGGAGTCACGCGTGCTCCCTTCTCAGGCAGGGCCAGCGAGGATAGGGGGATTCCATAAATCGGCTCATGCGTTGGAGCCACCGGAATACGAGCCCTCGGGCCTGGCGCACAAGCCAGCTGAAGTCAGCGTTTGTGGGTTTGCACGTTCGACACCCTAAATGGTGCCTTCATGCCCAAGCGCCTCCTCGTGGGTTACTGTTCACTGAGGTGCAGCTTCCCCGGCCGCGGCTCCGGGTCTGACAGGGGAGTCGGACAAACCCAAGCCTGCTCCGAGCTCGCCCGGAGGCCCCGCGGCCCCACGCATTCTCCTGCTCTTCCTATCTCCAAAGTAAGAGGACCTGAGCGTCGGACTGGAACACACACTAAGTGTTGTCTCGGGACACGGCTCAGGAGCAACCGAGGCGCGAAGGCCTTGCTCTGGCCACCAAAATTGTCCCTTTGCCATGTTCCCCTTTTGCCTATGCTAGTAACAAGAGGGAAAGAATAAAGCTTCTATACAGTCTAGAAACTGCAAAAATGCTTAGAGAATATGTCATCAACAGGGTACGTGATCCATGTCTGCTGCTGGCCCAGGTCTGCTGCTTAGCAGACACCCATGTGCCACACAGAGCCTCCCGCTGAGGTAGCCCTTGGTGACGAGGTGTGACGGCAGCCACTTACTTCCCCGTCACAGGCTGAGCTCACGCCCTGGAGCCCGCCACTGCCAGACTCCCGAGGGGGTGCGAACATATCCCAACACGCCCTGCTTCGGACCAAAATGGCATCTAGAGAGAGACAGCCTCCGGGCTGGGGCAGTTAGGGCTAGGGCCGGGTAGAGGGAGCGCGCACATGTGAAAGGTGTCACCTACATAACCAAAAGCAGTTTCAACATTCAGAACAATAAGTGCACTTGAAATACCTCCTAGCCTGGAACAGCACGCGAGCGGCGGCGGCGCCTCCTGCGTGCCAGGGTCGAGGGCCCTCTGCCCCGCGTGGCCTCCCCTTGGAAGCGCGGTCTGCTTTACGCCTGCGCCACGGTCCTGTCTGTCCGGTTATAAATAAATCATAGCTTTTCCAACTTCCATGTATCTTTTTAGCCGTTGGACGTAAAATAGACTTCCAGCTTCCTAAACGGAAACGTCACCTTCCTAATCAGAATTGACAATTGTAAATAACCATTTTTCAAGCGTGTGAGCCCCTCACAGCATATTTCCAACGGCATCGTGTGTGTTTAAAATGGCGAGCGCATGCGAGGCCCCTCAAGTTCCGATTCTCAGGCACGGACCCCATTGCAGTTTCTGACCCGGCTCACCCGCTTCGCCACGTGGCTTGACACTAAGCTGTCCCTGTCCCTGTTATAGCGACTGCTAGGAGGAATGTGCTCCTTATCTGGGTTTTGGCTGTTTGGTTTTTTTTTTTTCCTGCCCCACTGATACATATTCTGCAACCGCAAAATATTTCAACTCCAACTCACTTTTTGAATAAGCAACTTCTATTCTGTTCTGTTCTTTTTATCATTTGGGTTTATACACTGTTGAGAGACAAAAAAGCTACATAGTTTATTCACTCCTACAGTGAAATAGTTTTTAAAAAGTAAGAATAGGTTATTATTGAGTGAGAGCGTTGCTTGTCACTGGAGCATTCTGGAAGGCGGTGGAAAACCGGGTGGGCTCAGCTCTCCTTTGTGTGCCCTTTCCAAACCTCTCTGCCTCCATCAGGAAACTATGTCTGTCCCGTGACCTATGCAGCGCTTGACCTTTTGACTAATACGCCAACAAAAGGCGCCATTTATTAGTGATTAATCCATGTATCTTTGTCCATCAGGAACTGGTTCAGGCCTGTGCCAGCCATCACCAGTTATGTCCCCTGTGCCCTGGGCTTGGCTGTCCCGTGCACTTGGGGGCCATGCCCCCGTCCCCTGAGCCCTGAGTCTACCTCTCGGCAGTGTCACCCGATGGAGGGGCACACGAAGATCAGCCTCGCCCCCCGCCCCCGCCAGCTGGAACCCTGGGAAGTTGAGGTTGTTTCTAACAGTCACATCCTCCAATATCGATCTCCCTTGTCACACACAGTGTCTGTCTTGTCCTTCTGGCCCCTTCTTCTGACACCTTTGTCGCTTTTGTCCTCCTCTCTTTTGGACTTCCTTCCTTACCGTGTTTTCTTCCCACACACCCTGGCCGCCTCCTGCTCTCTTAGTTCCACCCACAAACCTCCTACTGGGAAGTTCTCCCACGTGGACCAACACCACGTTGCCGTCCCTCAGTGCACGGACTCGCTCCGTTTTTGTTTTTAAAAAGTTTACCTTCTGCTCAAAAACAGTCAGGCGTGAACCCTTTCGGTCAAGTGTTTCCTCTGTCATTTGTTCTATGGAGCTGTCACCTGTGAGCGTTTTAGATCACCCACCGCTCTGTAAGCCCAGCTGTGAGTTCAGTCCAGCCTGGCGCGGGGCCACAGAGAGGCTTCCCCTCGGGGGAACAGCCCACCGAGTCCCACCAGCTCTGCGAGCCACGGAAGGGCGCTTATTATGAGAACGGGACAGACGCGGTGTTTGCGTGGCTCACCGTCTCTTTCTCCTTCTGCAAAGTGTCCGCTTGCCTCCGCCCGCACCCGCAGAGACTATGCAGGAGGCCCATCCATTTTCTGTGCTATAGAACACAGTGATCTTTCTCTAATAAGTTTCTGGAAAAAATCAAGCAGAAGAACTGCTTAGCTATGTTGTGAGGGATTATAGTTGTTACTTTAATTTCGGGCCTGAACTATTACTCAATCTTTTTTTTAAAATGTCCAAACAAAACAAAACAAAACTAGGGTAAAAGACTTGAAATCCCATAGCTTTTCTTCTGTTGTTTTCGTATCCAAGCAAGAGACGCACCCTGGAGCCGTATTTGAAATATGAATACAACAGATACTTTATCTGTAGGACACACGCCCTGGAGGCCACAGGCCCCTCTTGGCCTGTCCCCTGTGGGCTCGTCCTTGGCTGCGGGCCCTCCGCCTTCGCCCTCCTCAGAGATAAGATGGGGGGCGTGTCAGCAGAGGCAGGATGGCAGGTCACCCACAGGGAGAGCAAGAGTCGCTGACGTCCTCAGAAATGTGTGAGTGACGTGCAACACGAATGCTTGGAACGACTGTTGTTGAGGAAAAACCGTGGCGTTTTCATCCTCTGGGGAGAAGCCGAAGTGCTCCGTGTGTGTCCGACGCCTGTGCACTTGGGTGATTCCTGCAGGTGTCTCCCAGGAGGAGGGCGTGTCGGGCCTGGGTTCCCGGGGCCGCCGGAGGCCTGGGACTCCTGCCTGGCCAGGGTCCGAGCGGCCGCGGCGGTCACTTCAGGGCCCTACGGGGCGGGGCCTTCGAAGGGTGCTCCCAGTGCCCGGCCCGGGCGGACCACCCGTCTGGGCTTAGAGAGACTCCAAAACCACCAGCAACTCCCTGCGAAACCGTCACTAAAACTGCCATCCAGATGTTCAGGGGTCAACCAGGAGCCTCCCAGCAGCGAAGGCAGGGCCCTCCAGGCCCCCCAGTCCCCCTTCTCCCCCCGCCACCATATCCCAAGGGATGGGACTGACCCCAGAGAAGGAGCGCCTGGGTTAGTGGCACTTGCTGGGGAAGGAGCTAAAAGTATGTACAAAAGCATCAGAGCTGCGCGGATGGGCCGGGCCTCTTGCCCCACGTGCAGCCCCTGAAGCCGCATAGCCCCCCCCGCCCCCCGCCTGACGCGGGACTGCTCCTCCCGATGGGCTGCGTTGGGGATTCTGAAGAACTCAGAGCCCGGGAGAGCAGCCTCTGCGTCACTGTCAGACCTGGCACAGCCACAGCCACCTCACCTTCGTTTAGTTTACAGTTTCCTCAGATGGCTTCCCATCAGCTCCAGCCTGAGACTCTGTGCTTTTGTACCTTTGTCATGACTCCTGAAACCCTGCAAGGCCACGTAGAGAGGTTCAGGGCTCCCGTCCCCGAGCCCGCACGCGGAGGGGAGGCCTGGACTGGCACGCAGGGCTCTCTGGGAAACGGCAGAGAAATAACGGGCGTCTTTGTGTGTTTGCCTGAGCCAGTGAACTCCGGGGACGGCATCGAGTACAGCCAGCAGCGGAGGGAGAACGTGGGCGACCTGATCCAGGAGACGCTCGGGGCCCTGGAGCGCCACGGCGGAGAGGACGCCTTCATCAACATCAAGTACATGGTCCCCACCTACGAGTCCTGCTTGCTGAACTGACAGCAGGGGCCGCAGGGGTGGGGGCTCCCTCCCGCCGCTCCCGCCCCGCCCGCCGCTGTGCACAGGGCGGCCTCTGCGGCTTCTCCAGCTGCCGCCGCCGTGGCTCCTGGGCCATCGGACGGCTCGCCCCATGGACAGCAAGGCTTCCCGATACATAAATAGTGCCTGTTTCTTAGATTACAATAGTGTACTGTGCTCGTTTGTTCTAAGAGAAGAACCGATTCTTTACGCAGCTCGGACAGGATAGGAGCCCGAGTTCAACCGTCAGTTGTATAGACAATAAAGTCTAATTTTCCTACGCAATTCAGCAGTTGCTGTCCTGTGTCTGCCCGCCCTGAGGGTGATATCAGAGACAGTAAGGGAACAGCCAATGCTGGCTGCTTAACAGGTGTTTGTCGTGGCAGACAAACATCGGTTCAGCAGCACCTCTGGGCAGCTGTGCAGAGCCGTGGGCTCGGGCGCCCGACGAAACCGGCGAATCTGCGTCCCGATGACAGAGGGGCCGCTGTGCAGCCTGCTACGAAGCTCAGCTGCTCCCGCAACCAGTGTTTGCAGGCCGCCGTGCGTGGGCTGCCAGAGCTCTCGGGCTGTTTGCGGGCAGGGTGCGGCAGGGTGCAGCGGGAGAGGCAGGGGGGCGGGGGAAGGGTGGGGGGGGCGGGAGAAGAGGGGCAGGGGAGGTGCGGAAGGTAACTTGGAGAACGTGATTTTAAAGAATGCTCGTTGGAAGGCTTGTCCCTCCCCACGATGACAGGTCACATTGGGACCTGGTGTGCTGTTGACAAAATGTTATCCAGCAGTTTCATGTAGGGCTTTTAATCGTTTTTGAAAAGGATGTATAACCACTTTAACCATTTAATCATAATGAACACCCCTGGACACAAACCTAATTCTTTTCCTTGGCCGTTCTCCTTCCTTCTGCCTCCTCCCGCCAGTTGGATGGGTGCTCACAGCAGCTCTCTGTAGGTCTGATGGCAGGAGTTTGGGATTTTATTGAAACCAAAAAAAAAAAAAGACCAATAAACATGCACTTTTTCATTCAACTGAGGAAGAGAAAAGGCTCCCAGAAAGAAGACCAGCTCTCAGGCCCATGGGCCCGGCAGTGGCCGCGCAGGCTGGCTGGGCGGTGAGCTGGGGCCTTTGAAGCGCAGCCCAGACGCCCCATGGGGCCGGGACGCTGGCCCTGAGCACCTGAGATGCTGTGGCTGCCCAGAGACACGCGGCCCAAGTAGCTCATCCGGTAGCAAAGAGCCGCTTCTGCACAGGCAGGAAGGAACGAAATGCCAATGCCAGGCACTGAGCGTCGGCCTAGAGATTATGGTCACTAATTGTTTAAGACACCAGTTTCCAAAGGCGAACACCACGTTTCAAAACTGGCTCATTATTCATGTTCCTCGATGCCTGGCTCAGCACTGCAATCCTAGCAGCATCGAACCAGCTACCACGTGGCTCCCGTAAGCACTTTTTAGGATAAATGGAGGCGCAGGGGTGGGTGACACAAAGCGGCTTTCGTGTGCCATGTTTTGAGATGACATAGCTAGAAGCAAACATGCACAGGTTAGGGCAGGTCTTCCTCTAAACTGTGACATTCAGTTGCACCCAAAATCTCTTGTCCTGGCCTCGGCGATGTGCTCAAAGGGATGCCGAGGTCCATGGCACGATTGGGAAGACGGTGGCTTGTTGGTGCGTTTGGAATTTCCCACTGGAATTTCCCGCACGGCTCGGGTGGGCCTCAGAGAAGCAGGCAGGCCGCTCGCTCTGGGTCACGCTCACACACGCTGCCCAGGGCAGGAGCACGAAGAGCACTCCCCCGCCCCCACCCCTTAGCCGAGAGCCCTCACTTTGGTTTGGAATGAAAACGTCCAGGTGCATTTCCCGGCTCTGCTACTCTTGGCTGTGCTGCCTCGGGCAAGCTCTTTAGCCTCTGGCGCCTCCCTCTCCCGGCCGCGCTGACGCGGGCCTGCAGGAATGCGGCCGGACCTCAGGTGAGCTCTGTGAAGTCCCCGGTGCAGTTCCCATACCCACCGGCCTTTCACGTCAGAGAGAAACGACACAGCCACAAGGACCCGTTGCCACCCGGCTAACCTTCAGGCAGCGTGGTGCTTCCTCCAAGGCAACGCTGAGGTCCTTGTTATCTCGGGATAACTTTGCAGGAAACCTAAATACCTGCATAGGCAGGACAGGGATTCCTGGAGACAGCAGAATAAACAGGCGGTTTTGCCAGCACAGAGGCGAGAGTGGCCGGCCTCGTCTCTCTTCTCCACCCCAGGTCGGCTGTCTTCTCCCTGGACGCTGTCTCATCAGGACGAGAACAGCTCTTCCCCTGCCGTGTTCTTACAGCCGAACTTCCTTTCGGAGGGAGGGAGGGGAATGCGGTGAGGCAACGCGGAAACACCCACGCCTGTGGGAGGCAGGGGTTTCCTGTCTGGTGTGAGTGGGTTGTGTTTGCTTGAAGCCACCTTCCACGTGCCAGTTATCCTGGGGGGACTCCGAGCCTGTGACTCAGGGGTTTTGGAGCCCAGAGCAAGTCACTGAAACCCAGCGTCCTCCCTCTGACCGTCTCTGCTCCCTGGGGTCGCTACCAGGACTGAGGGAGCCAAGCATGGAGGGGCCCAGGAGTGGGGACCGGGCAGAATGTGCGTGGACATCTCTCCCCACGGGGCAGCTGCCGTGTGATCTTGGGCAAGTTACGGAAATTCCACAACTCCAGTCCCTCACTGACCCCTCTTCTCTGGGGCCTGTAATGTCTGCCTTGCCGGTTGGCCGTAGCAGCCCAGCACAAACGCAAGTGAGGAAGGGGCTCAGAGGGAGCCCCGCTGGATGAATGAGAGCGGGGGGCCGAGGGGAAGACCCGCGAAAGCAGCCGGCCTGGCGCCCGGAGCAGAGGGACTCCCCCAGTTCTCACCTTGTCTGCTCAGGCCCCGCACAGGCGTCGGCCTGGGCTCTGACCAGAGGTCTGGTGAGAAATTTCGGCCTTTCAGGAGCCCGCCGCCCTCCGGCCATCCCCTCCCTGGGCACTCCGTCCGCTGTGCGCGCGCCTTCCCATCCCCATCCCACTAGAAAGGCAGCACACAGTTTTCAGGGGCAAGGGACACCCGCGGCGCTTCCTACAGAAACGTGAAATTTGAAAGCTCCACGCAACAGTGGCATTACCTGGAGAACGGGATTTTTTAACCGAAGATTTCTTAAACAAACAAAGAAATCCTCCAGTCCTTCTGGGGTTTACTTAAACGAGGTCAGAGAAGCGTGGGTGCAGGCGGTAGGCCTCTCAGAGCACCGTAATTTAGAGAGGCTAACACCGGGTAATTTTTGTCCATTTCTGTGCCCACCGCATCTTCGCTTCTTTTAGCTATTTTGAGATGTTTATCGCTAACCCTTTGCAAGCAGAGGCTGGGAAGCTCAAAGACTGGTTTTGTTGTGAAGTTATATACCTGGGAAAATCTGATAAGATTTAAAATGGAGTCAGAAAATCTCAAATGCTTTTTAAATAGTTCCCTCCACGATGGTATCCCTATTTTTAGGAATGTACCAGCTGACCGAAGTTTGTCCAAAGGGGGACACTTTCAGATCTAAAGTAAAATGCCCAAGTTGGCATCACCCCGAGATAATGCGCATCACACCAAGATAACGCATAGGCGCGGTTTCCATGTCCAGGGTCCCGAGGCTGCACGGGCACAGCCGGCCTGTGGAAGGGCCCTGCTCTGGGCCAGGCACCCCCTGGCAGGGCGCGGGTGCATCCCCGGCCCCGCCTTCCCGGTCCGGTCCTGTGGGGGGGGGCGGGGGCGGGGGGGGCACCCAGGACTCATAGAGCGCCACGTTCCTGTTAAGCCCCAGAAAGGAGGGCATTCCTAAGCGCAACCAACCCCACTGCTTTTAAAATAAGATATCGACAGAGACTTAAACTTGCTGTCTGTCCTTTGTGCGTGGCTTTGCCCTGATAGCGAGGGGAAGCCCACGTGCGTTCCAGGAGGGAAAGACCATTTCGAACGGGGCGGCGCCATCCCAACCTACGCGGATTATTCGTAGTCGTGATGTTTTAACACAAAAGAGTCTAAGCGTCCTCCCTGCCCTGCGGTGGCGAGAAATGTCAGAGAAGCGTGCTTGGCCTGGTCAAAAGCACCAAGAGGCAAATGCACCCGAGTGTTGGATCTCAGCTGAAAACACCTGGGGCGTCGTTGTGTCTTTCGCGGTCTCCGTGGGTGGGCACGGACACGCTTAACGGAAATCTGAAGCACGAGGTCGGCTTGCTTTCTCCGCGCCCCTCGCTGGTAACAGCTCACCCTGCAGTTCACACGCCAACGATGATATGAAAGTTCCAAGTAGCAGCTACAGAATGAAGTCCCCGAGACGGCTGCGCGAGGCCTCCGCGTGGATGTCTGCTCACACGCCTTGCCCCATGCACATCTCGTTGCTGATGCGTTTGCTGCTTCACCCACGTTCTCTGGCCATTAGACAATTCTCCGTCCCTGGGACGGGACGTGGACAGGCAGGTAGCAGAAGTTGCTCTTTGCACTTTGGTTCCGCTGCATTGCTTTGCAGCAGGGGCTGGGTTTTAGTTTCCCCAGTGGGAATGTGTCTAAGGTTTCCTAATCCATTTTCACTTGGACTCCTTATCCATTTTTCCTTTGCCAAACTTCTGTAAGTTTAAATCTGGGAGAAAGGATTTGTTCTCTTCCTGTGCTCGATAGGTCTAAAAATTTATGACTTGAGTTACTTTTTTATTTAGAAAGTATTGAGAAAGAGCCCCCGCCTCGCCTCAGGGAGCTGTGGGGAGCTATGCACCCTGCTCAGCAAGGGCGCGCTGCACTGGCTATTGGCCGGATTAGGAACCCTTCGCTGGAAGGTGCACCCGGGGCACCTACTCGGAAGCGGCAGGGTCTGTCTGCAGAGGAGGGGAAGGGAGAATGTGCTGCGTACGCCCTAGTGACAACGGCCCGGGGGCTGGGGCGAAGCCTACGGAAGGACGAGCCCTGAGACGCCAGCGGGCCTGCGCCCCCGCGTCT